GCGTCACTTCTCCCCTGTGGTCCTGGTGGAATTCAACAGGAAACCCCCGGGGGGCGGGGCTTTCTGTCTGGGAAGACCACTGGCCTTTCTTCAGTCTGTTTCTGGGGCACACGCCCACCCAGGTTGTCCACTCCTCCTGGGCGTTTTCTTTCAACACTTTAACTATTTACCTTCACCCTCTTCTTGCTGGTATGGTTTCTGAGAAGAATTCATGTTTAATTCTCACCTTTGTCCCTTGATAAATAAGAGGTTTTTTCCCCCTTTGGCTTCTTTCAAGATTGTTTCTTTATCTTTGATTTTCTGAAATTTCAGTGAGCTCAGCCTAGGTGTAGTTTTTTTGGGGGGGGGGCATTTACCATGCTTGGTGTTCTTGGATCTTTCTGGATCTGCGGGTGGGCACCCAACACTGATCTGGGAGGAATTCTGAGCCATTACTGCCTCACTGTCTTCCGTTTTTCTCAGCAGGCGTTATGTTGCACCTTTGGCATTTGAACCGCATTCTTGCATATTCTGTTCCATTTTGGGGGTGGGGAGCGTGTTTTCTCTTTGCTTTGCTTTTTCTTCCTTCCTTCCTTTCTTTTCTTTTATCCCACAAAAAGCCACAACCTCACTGGTGATGGAAGCAGTACGAACCTCACACCAGGCTGCAGAAACTCTTCTGAAACGGCACAGTAAAGGTTCTCTTGTTCCAATGGGCGCAACGTTAATTCTGTGACAGCTGTGCAGCGCCACTGCCACCGCTCCTCAGGGCTGCCACCGCCTCTGCTCTCGACACGTTTGCTTGTGACATTGACCGGACCTGTGTCCTCCATCCCATACCTGTTTCACCAGCCTCTTCCTCTTCTCTTTCCTCTTGTGCAGTTCGGGTCTGTGGGTTTTCTTCAATGTTTGCGACAGCTTCACCTTGAACTTTGAATTTCTCAGTAGCTGCTAGCTGTGCCTGCTGAGATCAACCCTTGACCTTGGTTCCCCCCAAAACTACGCATGTGCCTGAAGCTGGGCTCTTGTAGACCTATGGTTTCGTGATGACAAAGGGGATATTCTTAGGTGTCCAGATAGTGACCCTAGTAACCGTGTAACGTGTCCTAGGCCCGGTTTGGACATAGCCTTCCGCGTTTGCTTTTCGCTCGGCTCTGTGTGGCTTTGCTAACTGGCTCCTTATCGCGTCCAGGTGCTGCCGGCTGGGCTGGCTGTGTGGCTGCCCCGAGTGGAATCTTGCTCCTCTGGTTCTCATGTTGCCCCATCAGATCAGATTCTGCCCCAGCCCCCGTCTCAGCCCGGGGCCGTGTCGGGTGCAGCCCCACAGCAGGGGTGGTCTCAGCGGCTTCCCTGGGCTTTTTGTGCGGGGAACGCGGAGACCAAATCTTTCTTCGCTTTGCCGTTTGGGAAGTGCCTACGGTCGACCCTCAAGTTCCGAGAGTCTGTCCTCAGCCACATCAAAGGCATTCTTTATCTGTTATTAATACCATTATTATTACTATTATTTATTTTTAATTCTTTCTCCAGATCTCCCTCTCTGTGCTGCTTCTCACCTGTTCTTGAACGTGTCTTTGTTTCCTTTGCATCTGGATCATTTTTTTCGTTCCTAACCTGATAATTCCAACATTCCCGCCAGATCTAAGTCTGATTCTGAAGCGCGCCGGGTCCCTCCAAACTGTGCGTTCTGCCCTTCAGGGTGCCTCGCGCTGTTTGGTGGCCGGCTGGACATGAAGTGCTGAGAAGACCAGCGTCGGCCCCCGCAGGGAGACCTGCCTGTGACTTTCCGCTTCAGTGCATGCGGCTCTGTGCCCACCCGTTGTCCCTCCAGCCAGGGGGCAGCCGTTTGCCCCGTTACCTCGGTTCTCCGATGCGTGTCAGAAGAGTCGTTGACTTTCTGTTGAACCAGTCTTTCATCTTGGCATTAGGGCAGAGCTCCAAGCCAGACCCAAAACCTGCAAATCGAAAGCTCTTAGCCCACACTTACTTTCCACCAAATATTCCCCCATTGTTTGCACACGCCATCCACTTACTGGAGGACACTTCAGCTTCTTCCAGGTTTGGGCAATTATTAGCAGAGCTGCTGGGAACACTTCCACGCAGGGTTTTGTGCGGGACATCAGTGTTGCAGTCAGTTGGGTGAACACCTTACAGAGCGCTTGCCGGGCCGCGTGGTGCAGGCACGGTAAGCTCTGTGAGCAAGTGTGAAGCTGGATTCCGAAGGCTTGCGCCGTTTTCCTTCTCATCCGCGGAGAATTAGGGTCCGGTGCCCCCTCCTCGTCATCCTCGAACACGGCCAGGTCTTTGGTTTGTAGCCATCCTGGCAGGTGTGTGGCAATTTCTCACTTTGCTATGATTTTTCTATTCCCCGATGACAAGTGATGTTGAGTATTTTTGTAGAGCTATTTGCCACCTGCCTACATTCTTTGATTAATACGTACTTTACATTTTTCTTTAATAAAAAAAAAGCCTCTCCGAAGGGTACAAGCCTTCAGTGGTTATAAGGTAGGTGCATTCTGGGGTCTAACACAGAACGCAGCAGCTGTAGTCAGTCTCGCGGCACCGTGTCCTGAGCAGAGGTTGCCAAGAGAGCAAATCCCGAGTGTTCTCACCACAGAAAGAAAACAGGGAACCGTGTGAGCCAATTAGAGGTTCGTTAACCTGGTTAACCAATGGCAGTAATTTCCAAGGCACACGTACGTCAAATCATTACACTGTACACATTGAATGCACACAATTTTACTCGTCAATTATATTTCCATAAAGCCGGAGGAAACTATTTTAAATCAATAAAATTTAAAAACTGAACTACCATAGGACCCAGCAATCCCATTTCTGGGTCTAAACACAAAGAATTGAAGGCAGGAGCTTGAACAAATGTCCACACCCCTGCGTTCGCAGCCATGCCCTTCATGGAGGCCAAGAGGTAGAAGCCATGAAATTGTTTATTGGCTGATGAACGGAGACACACAATGTGGTCCATTCACACGGTGGAGTAACACGCGGCCTTAAACAGCAAGGAACTCCTGCCACCTGTTCCAACACAGGTGACCCTGAGGACATTGAACTTGGGGAAACCAGCTGATCATGAAGAGATAAATACCGTGTGGTCAGACTTTCTAATGTGCTCGGATTCACAGAAACAGAGAGCGGCTGGGGGACTACCGAGGGCTGGGGGAGCGGGAACGAGGGGTTTAGCGGGCATGGTGTTCGGTTCTGCAAAGGAAACATTTGGAAATTTGACACACAACTACGTGGATACACTTAACACAACTGAAGTGCACACTTCAAAAACGGCTAACGTGGTAAAATTTTCATTATATGTGTTTTTTTTTTTACCACAATTTATTTCAGTTACATCTCTCTATAGCAGATTTGGAAATAAAATTACACCCCCACTAATCACCACCACAGCGAAAGCTAAGGAGAAGTAAATAATCAAAACCGTAATAAAGAACAGGGCCCACAAGGAGGAAGACACCTACTAAGAAGGGACCCTGGTGGCTACCTGGGCTCGAATTAAAGAACCAAAACAAAAAGCAGCCCAGCACCCCTTCTGCACAGGTCCCCCACCCCCCACACACACACAAGCCCTGTGGGGAGCAGCCACACTCCACACGTGCCCTCCACGCTGATTCTGCCCACCCAGCAGCCCCCTTGAGGACTTCCTGGAGTCCCGTTTCAACCAGTAGGACTGAGGCTTTCCCGTCCAATTGCTGGGCGGAGGTGTCTCACCAGGCCCAGGTGCCGGTTTTGTACCACGTCGGTGCCCTTGGGGACATGTTGCTGCAGGTTTGGGGGGACGATGGGGTCGGGAGGAGATGAGCAGACGGGGTGGGGGGTGACTGGAGCCGTGTAGCCCCTTATGGCAGAGGCCAGCGCACCAGCGGCCGCACAGAGGCTGTGCAGGGTTTTCTGGCTGTAAAAACCCAAGTCTAGGGCCCTGGCTGCTGTGGCCCAGTGGATTGCGCACCGGCCTGTGAACCACAGGATCACTGGTTTGATTCCCAGTGAGGGCACATGCCCGGGCTGCAGGCCATGTTCCCAGTAGGAGGAACATGAGAGACAGCCACACCTTGATGTTTTTCTTCCTCTCTTCCTCTCTCTTTAAAAATGAATACATAAAAATCTTTTGAAAATTAAAAAAAAATTACATAAAAAATTCATGAGGCTTACAGTGAGCTGCTTCCAATCAAATGAATTTGAAATGTGTTTTTGGGAACATTTCAAACCTGCTGTAAACAGAAACCAGGGACTCGGGCTGGAAAACACGGAGAATGTGCTTTGAGACTCATTGTCCTCAGTACAGAGCTGGTTCCTCCTCCTCACGGGTGCAAAGGCGGAACCAGCTCGCCTGCTGTTCTCCGCCCTGGTGGGCTCTGAAAACTTATTTTTAATCCCCTGTTTAAAAAATCTGCAGTACTTCTAAAAATGAAAGTAAAAAGGCCGAAAATGCACTTGAACTGCCAACCAACTTTAAGTTAACCCGCGAGGACCGCTCTGCTTTCGGTTTGGAGTGGAACAGAAAAGTCCCTACACCAGACTTCCCACCAGAGATGTGCAGAAAGACATGTCGAAACCTCTCATTGCAAAGGTTATATTGCCCCTGAGGGTTCAGGGTTGCATCAGAGTTTGTGCAGAAATTGGAGGCTGGGAAGTGTAACATATTTAGCTTCCCTGCAAAAGAAAAAAAAAAATGGAAAACCAAATGCTCATTTGCAGCTGCAGGTTTTTATAAACGATTCACATTCAGTGCAGTGGCAGGATTCCTTTGTTACGTAGCTGCTCTGAACACACCAGCGGGCAGCAGGGTGCTAAGTCGTGGGGACAGAAAAGCAGAGAAGACACAGTCTTTAGGCAGCCCCTGTGAGCCCGGACTGGTATAGCTCAGTGGGTTGAGTGTTGACTTATAAGCTAAAAGGTTGCCAGTTCGATTCCCCTTTCCCCAGTGGGGCAAGTCCCTGGGTTAGGGCCAATGGGCTGTTCCTCCTCCTCTTTCTTCTTCCCTCCCCCTCTCTAAAAGTAAATAAGATCTTTAAAGAGACGGCAGCAGCTTAGAAGCCTCTGTTGTCTGTGAGTGTCCTGCCCCACACCCAGGGACCGGGGACAGCCCTGATGGCCCTGACCACTGCCTTAGTCTCAAGGGCAGCTGTACTGGGCTGGGGTGGTGGAGGGAGGAACTGAATCAACCAACGGAAATGACTGTGAACTGGCTTTCACATCCTCTATCCACCAACTCCCGGGACTGAAAACGCAACAGAAACAAAAAAGCGGCCACCGTTCTTTCTAAGTAGCCAGGAGGGCACCAGCGATGGGCAGGCAAGTGACGGCACTCTGCTTGCCTGGGACGGTGGACAGGAGAGGGCGCCACCCAAAGCCCCAGCCCTGGCCAGGGGGAGGAAGAAGCCGGAGCAGTACCTCCACTGGAAAAGAGCTGGTCGGTTCCCTTCAAACCTTAACCATCTTCATCTTTCCTCCCCAAAAGTGTGCCTCCCCCTAGCATCGAGCAAAGAGCCGAGACCCTGCTGTGCCTGTCCCCTGCCGAAGTCGCGGACCTCCAGGAAGGAATCAATTTTTTCCGAAACAAGAGCACCGGCCAAGACTACATCTTCTTTAAGAACAAGGGCCGCCTGAGAGCATGCAAGAACCTGTGCAAGCACCAAGGGGGCCTGTTCATCAGGGACATCGAGGACCTGGACGGCAGGTACCTGGGCTCTCTGCTCCCTCCCTGGGGACTCTCAGCTCCTGCCCTTCGGTCTGGCAGGAGATGAGCTCCTGGAAAAACCAGCAGTGAGCCAACCGTCGAAACATTTCCCTGGCAAGTCCGTAACTTTCACGCACGTCTGTCTGCTCAGGGGAGCTCACTGATCTCAAACTTGTAGGGCCTTTCCTCTCTTCTTTAAATTGGCAGGTTTTTGAAAAATTCTCATCTGTTTATTGATATGAGAGAGAGAGAGAGAAACATGGATATGTGGAACATCAATCAGTTGCCTTCTATACACGCCCTAACTGTGGTCAAACCTGCAACCCTCTGGTGCCCAAGGACGGCCCTCCAACCAACTGAGCCACCCAGCCAGGGCTGAACTTTCTGAATTTCCCCCTAAGAATAGTAATTTAAAAATTATTCCCAGATTGATGAACAGGAAATGTTCCGGTGCACCAGATTCAAGGCTCCTTCAGTGTTTTCCCCTCTCTCTCCTGGAAGGGGCTGGGAGGGCAGTCACTTTCCCAGACCCGCTGGAGGGCAGATGGCGTCTCCCTGGCCATGCAGCTGTGACTTGCATCCCCGGGCCCTGAGCGGTGGCCCTGCTGTCGGCTCTGACTGCCTTTCTCTCCCCGTAACCCGCCCCCCCCCCGTTGGCCCAGGTCTGTCAAATGCACCAAGCACAACTGGAAGCTGGACGTGAGCACGATGAAGTACATCAACCCGCCAGGCAGCTTCTGCCAGGATGAGCTGGGTAAGGTGCCACCCGTCTCGCCCGCGTGGTCTGGGGCCGTTGTTCTGGGGCGTCCTTCTTGTCCACTCACGTCCAGCCTCACCCGCAGCTTTGGAAACATTATGCATGGCCACTGTAGGTGTTCTGTCCTTTTTGTACCGCGAACACTGAGAGTTCTAAGCAGAGGGTTTCTCTGGAAGCCCCCTCTGTTCATCCATCTGTGTGGCAAAGGTGGGCTGAGACCTGCCCGTGCACAAACGCTGGGTGTTAAGAGCCGCCCAGCCAGGTAAGAGAGCGCAGTGTCAGTGAGAGGACGAGGGCGTGGTGTGGGCGCCAGATGAGCAGGAGGCTGTCCAGGACCAGGGCACCCTGTCAGGTGGGTCACCCATCCGTGGACACACGAGACAACGTCTGTGTGTGCCGTCCTCTGGATGGGAAGTCCACAGCTCTGGCGGGGGGTGAAAGGCCCCTGACGCCGGGGTGCTGTCCGTGCAGATAAGAGACCACCGCTGCTGCTCAAGTTTCCGAGGGCTTCCTCTTCTCCTTTGTGCTTCTGGTGCAGATACGAGTGAGGCGGGCTTAGCGACGGGAGTGAGCTTGTCTCTGTCCTAACAGATTGAAGTTGTGTTCTGCCTGTAGAAAAAGTGACTTAGGACTGTCCTCAAAACTGCTCAGTGTGCGTCAGACACACTTTCTGAGCAGCTGCTGCTGGAATTTAAAAAAAAAAAAAACAGATGCGAACCAGCCCAGGAGTGCTGGGGACATCGTTTCTGTTTTTTATAAATTGTTTATGCTGTTACTGTTGTCCGGAATTTTCCCCTCTGTCCCCCTTCACCCGGCCCCACCCTACTACTCCCTCAGGCCATCTCCGCCCCACAGTCTACGTCCGTGGGTCCTGCCTGTAAGTTCTTAGGCTGCTCATCTCCTACACTGTACTCTAAATGCCCCTCACCCATGACTACTCTGTAACTACCAACCTGTAATTTTTCATCTCTTTACCTCTTCACCCCCCCACCTCCGACCCCCCCCTCCCATCTGGCAACCATCAAAATGCAGCCACAATTCTGTCTCTGTTCTGTGTGTTTGTTTTTTACATTCCATTGTTGATAGATATGAATTTATTGCCATTTTATTGTTCATATAAAAATATGAACAATCCTCTTCTTCTTCTTAAACAGGACCCTTTAACACTTCATATAATACTGGTTTGGTGATGATAAACTCCTTTAGCTTTTTCTTGTCTGGGAAGCTCTTTGGCTGAGCTTTGATTTTAAGTGATAGCTTCACAGAGGAGAGTAAGCTAGGCTGTAGTTCCTTGGTTTTCCTCATTTTGAACATTTTTTGCCAACCCCTTCCAGCCTGCAAAGTTTCTTTTGAGAAATTATCTGACTGTCTTATGGGAGCTCTGTTGTAGGTAACTAATGGCTTTTCTTTTGCTGCTTTTAAGATTCTCTCTTTATTTTTAACCTTTGGCATTATAATTACAATGTGTCTTGGAGTGGGCCTCTTTGGGTCCATCTTGTTTGGGACTCTCTGTGCTTTCTGGACTTTCAGATCTATTTCCTTCACCACATTAGAAAAGTTTCCTTTCATTATCTTTTCAAATAGGTTTCCAATTCCTTGCTCTTTCTCTTCTCCTTCTGGCTCCCCTGTGTTACGAATGTTGGACCCCTTGAAGTTATCCCAGAGACTGCTTGCCCTAGCCTCATTTTTTAATTCTTTTTTTCTTCTTGCTGTTCTGATTGGTTGGGTTTTTTTTTGTTTCCTTATATTCCAAATTGCTGATTTGATTCTTTGCTTCATCCACTCTACTGTTTTCCCCTGTAAATTGTTCTTTATTTCAATTAGTGTATCCTTCATTTCTGACTGGGTCTTTTTTAAGCTGTTGAGGTCCTCACTAAGTTCCCTGAGCTTCCATATAACCAGTGTTTTGAACTCTGCATCTGATAGATTACTTTCTCCATTTCATTTAGCTCTTCTTCTGGAGTTTTGTTCTGTCCTTTCATTTGAGCCATGTTTCTTTGTGTCTTCATTTTGACAGCCTCCCTGAGTTTGATTTTATATATTAGGTAGAGCTACTATGTCTCCCAGGCTTGTTACAGTTGCCTAATGTAGCAGGTGTCCTGTAGGGTCCAGTGGCACAGCCTCCCCTATCACCCAAGCTGGGTACTCAAAGTGTAGGTTGTGAGCACCCCCCTCTTGTAGTTGAGCCTTGATCGCTGTTGGCACGATGAAATTCAGCCTCTGCCTGTATTCCATCTACATTGTGACAGCATTAGCTACAAAGCGATCTGCAGATGACTGCTACTTTTGCTGGGCTTGGAAGTGCCCGAGAGAGGCCAAGCTGTGAACCAAGGCCTGGGGCAACTTAGCAAAAGGTATCAGGCCCACTGAGGCCAGATGCTACTTGTGTGAGAGAATTTAGGAAAATTTGAAGATTCAGCCAAGACAGGCCATTCATATGCAAAAGGCACTGGAAACAGCTTGAGTTGGCCCGAAAGTTGGGTGGGGCAGGGCCTCGGGGAACCTTCAGGGTGGGGCAAACAGTGTGAACCAGTGTGGCAGAGTCTCAGATATGGTGCCTGCTTGACAGCTCTGTCTGGGGAGGGCTCAGAAAAGGAACAGTGGCCTCTGCCGGCTCTTCGGTGCAGAAAGAAGCTGCCCGCCACCCCCAGCTCTCACCCTGATGCCGCTCAGTTCAGCCCTCCCCGTTTGTCTCTGATGCCTTTCCGTCCGCTGCTCCAGAGCTGGAGCTCACAGCGAGTGAGTCTGAGTAACTCTGTGCTCGGCCCCTTTCAGAGGAACTGCGTGAGACGTTAGAAGTTTCTGTCTCCCACAGCCTCCACCCCCGCTGGTTTTTACAGTCATTAGTTGTGGGGACTTATCTTCCCGGAACTGGAACCCTGGGCTGGGGAGCCTCACTCCTGAGATATCCCTCCCAAAGTTTCATCCACCACACACGAGTGTGGGACCCGCCCGTTCCGCGTCTCGACCCCTCCTACCAGACAAGACGCGGTTTCCTCTTTAATCCCCAAGTTGTAGGACTTCCATTCAGCCTGACTTTTGATGGTTCTGAGCGGCGATTGTTCTGTAGTTCAGTTGTAATTCTGATGTGGTTGTGCGAGGAGGCTCGCCATGTTTACCTTCGCCGCCATCTTGACCGGAAGTGTGTTGGGTTTTGTCCGCTGGGCGGAGCCCCGCCAGGCGGGAGGAGGAAGAAGGGGTTTGCGTGCAGGAAGCAGCCGGGCGTCCTTAGGGTGTTTGGGCCGCACGCATGTTTTTGGGGTATCAGGCACACACATTGATGTAGTAGGATGTCAGGCTGCAGAGGTGCAGCGTAAGGAGGGCATCGCAGGCTGGTGTCGGAAGGAATGCCGTGCCCGGTGGGGCATTAGGGATGTTGGGTGAATTCCGGGGGGTCCCCAGGTGCACTGGCCTCAGGCTCCAGGCTGGGACCCTCTTCACCCCTGGATCCCATCCTCTCACCCCTCTCAGGAGCCAGCAGAAGCTGTCGGGTGCCATCATATTTCTAGTTTTTCAAGTGGTCTTAAAAATGAAGAAGTAATACATTTCATGTTCTGCTTATGCAGAGATAATTCTATATTTAAACCCCTCACTTCCGGGTGCCACATCTGGGCAGGAGCGGTGCCTAGGCTGAGAGGGGGAGCTTTGCAACCCCAAGGGAGTCTGGGAGACATGAAATTAAAACCATTAATTAATCTATTAGCTCAACAGATAGTTAACAAACGCCCACGGTGAGCCGGGCAATGTTCTGGGCACACTATTGATCTAACAGCACAGAGGCCACAAGGCCAGCTCTGGTGGCACCGAGAGTCTCCAAAAGGAGACAGACCATAAGCAAACAGCACACGACATGTCTAGTGTCAAGAAGGGTGGAAAATAACTAGGGGTCAGGGCTGGGGAGCACTTCTGGACGGAGAGTGGTCAGAACACCATCCCTGAGGAGGCGACATCTGAGTCCCCGTGAAGCCAGGGTGTGAGAAGCGTGGAGAGCTGCCCACGGAGACCATCTAAACAAGCTGCCCCTTGTCGGGGTGGAGAAGGGGCTAAAAGTGCACAGGGAAACGAGAGAGAGACAAGGAGGCACAGGGTGCTTTTCCTTGTCGTGGTCCCTCAGGGTGACCTTGGAGTTCAACAGCTTGTATAAGTCTGTGTTCACAACCACTGGGGGGGAAATTCCAAGATGCACAGTTTTTCATTTTATGGGTGATTTTTAACCTCGGTTTTTTCCACAAGCAGTCATCTGAGAGTGTGTGATGAATGTTCATTTGGAAAGTGTGTAGGTGACACATTTGGTCGATATACTTTGAAGAAAGTCAGAAAATGCACAGCCTTCAGGGCGGGGATTGCCTGGGTCGGGGAGCTCACTTGCTCTCATTTAGCCATTCATAGAATTGCTGGCATTTATCAGGATAAACTGCTTGTGGAGGGAGCTAGGTTAAAGGTGAGAACACTGCAGAACAGAGATGTTGAGCAACCTGCCCAGGGTCGCCGAGCTATTAAGTGAGAGAGTGTGGCTCCAGCGCGGCCACCAGGGCGCTGAGCTCTCACTCATGGCCCCGCCTCCCCACAGTGAGTCTCGGGGTCTCACTGTTGTCCTGCTGAGCGGGTTCTGATCTGACTGCCCCTCGCTTCAGCCCTCAGGAAACCCAAACGAGAGGCCTGACCCTATAGGAGTGGGTTTTCCTGGGTCACAGGAAGCTGCCAGATAGACAGTCCTGGGCAGCATGGCTACTCCATGACTTACCTAGGAGCCGAGTCCTTTCCCCTTTCCCGCCCTTCACCCTTAGAACCCCAATGGCTGCTGCCGCTCCAGGCGTGGCAGCCAAGTTCTGAGCAAGAGGGGACAGGGGAGTCAGACAGTGCAGGGCCCTCCAGTTTGTCCCACTTTGTCAGGTAGAAAAGGGTTCCTGGAAGTCACCTCTGCTCACTCCTCTCCGGCCGGAACAATTCGCACTATGCGTAAGAGCGAGGTCTGTGGCCACTCAGAACCACAAGAAGGCCTGGGGGACAGTGACTTAATTGTTTCAGGTTCTTGCTCTGCTTTTGAAAATTAGCCCTGGCACATGATATTCTACCGGTTTCAGGGGTACACCCTGTGATCCGCCACTGGGACTCCTCACGATGGGGTCACCACACTCGGTCCATACCCACCTGTCCGTCACAGTGCAGAGTCACCACCACACTATTCACTGGGTCGCCTTCACCTTCTTCACCCACTCCCTCCGCCCCACCCCCACCTCCTGGCCACCATCAGCCTGTTCTGTCTACGAGTCTCTTTTGGTTTGGTTGGTTCAGATTTTTTTTTTATGTTCCTCATACAAGTGAAGTCCTGTGACATTTGCCCTGCCCGACTTTATCCGAACTTGCAGGTGAGTGTCCCACCTCGCCTACAAAAGGTTAGGATGTTCGTCATAAGGGGGAAGGAAACTTGACCCTGCGCAGGCCACAGCAGCGTCAGTACCCAGTGCTTAACATTCTTCAGTGACGCGCAGGGTCACAGCAGAGACCCAACCTTGTCCCCAATGCGGTACCGGGTCCTGTCCGTGGCCCACTCAGACATCTGTCCCATGGGCCTCAAATGCCGCTTTCCTTGGCCACCAACTCCCGGTCCCTCTGTGACCTCCCAGGGCTCCCAGGCGCCTGCCCTTCGCATGCAAAGGAGAGAGGGAGAGAGACATCAATGTGTGGTTGCCTCTCATGAACCTCCTACTGGGCACCTGACCCACAACCCAGACAAGTGCCCTGAGTGGGAATCGAACCAGTGACCCTTTGGTCCGGAGGCCGACGCTCAATCCACTGAGCCACACCAGCCAGGGCGCATGCGCTCCTTTTCTTCCTCTTGTTTCCTGCACATTGTCTCTCACTTCGGCCCGTGCGCCCCGCCTTCCAGTCTGTGTGCCCCGCCTTCCAGTCTGTGTGCCCTCAGCCCCTGGAACCCTCCTTGTCGGTCCTGCTGCAATTGCTGTGACGGTGTGTCTGTCTGTCTGTCTGTGTCTCAGAGTGCAAGGTGGAGGAGATGGCCTGCATAGGTGTCCCTTGTCTCAGGTGAGCGTCCCCTGGCACTGACTTTCCTCTGCCTGCCGGTGCCACGCACCTGGGCCACGCACGTCCACGGCGGTGATGCTTCTCAGAAGCCCTGCCTGCTCTCCACCCACACCTGTGTCCCTTTGGTTCTAGTGGTTGAAATGGATGAAGGCAATGGCCTCTTACTGCTCGAGCTGAACCCTCCCAACCCATGGGACGCGGAGCCCAGAGCCCCTGAGGAGCTGGCCTTTGGGGAGGTCCAGGTGAGGAAATATGAAAGTCACAGTCTTCTTAAAACCAAAAATCTAACGTGCATTTATATGTATATATATGTATATATATATGCAAGTGTATGTTACATATAAGGTAAAACTAAGCTGTCCATGCACACATGTATTTACACCCTGCATCACTCTGGATGAGCTCTGAGGGGTTACGCAGGACATGCCACAAAGCTGCTCTGAGCTCTGAGCCACTGTCCTCAGGGGCACCCCAGAACTTGGCAGGCATTGCAAGAAAAGATATCCAGAAAAATACAAAACAAAACAAAAACACCGTTAAATGAGAGTCCCAGAGGACAGCCGTGCAGCTGTGGGAGGCAGCTCGGAGTCCCCAGCTGCCAGGTCACCGTCGGATGACAGGCAGTCACGTGTCCAGCCTGCCCAAGGTCCCGCCACAGCCCTCACCCCACGATTCCAGCTCCAGGAGGGCGTTTCCTCCGGAGGAAGCCCTTGGGGCGTCGGGGAGGCGTCGACCGCGCAGAGTCCATTTTCTACCATATTTGGGAAGCTTGTGAAAATGGGCAGTGACTCCTGTTCTGGAGGAAACCGACGGGAACCGGCCCAGAAGAGGCAGAGTAACGCGGAGTTCGGTCCTCGCTGGGCCTCTCTCTTTTCCTGTGACCTCATCTTTTTTCCTGTGGCTCTGCCAGACCGCGGGCAGGGAGTGTGGAGCTGATCGTGTGGAGTGCGGAGCAGGGGTCACGCCTGGCCCCAAGTCCCTGTTCACGGCCATTCTCAGAGCACCCTGGCCTCCCCAAGGGGGCGTCGGGGTCACTTGGAAGAGAAAGCCACACGCGCCTGCTCAGTGGGGCTGCTGCCCGCTCAGCCAGTCTCCTCAGCACTTACCGGCTTGCATTTAGCCCCCTGCGGCCGGTCAGGGCGCCTCCACCTGACTCTCCTTGTACACGGTGCTTTGGGGGGCTTCCCACAGAAGGTATCCCCCCAGTGCAGACTCAGCAAGAGTGAGACCAGCTAATGCACAGGCCTGGCACCCAGAAGCGTCCGCGAGCCTTTCCCTGCTAACAAACAGCAGCGCCCCGAGCCTGGTGTCTGAGTCAGGACTCCGAGTCCCGCGCCCACTCAGGAGCCGAGTCCTCCAGCGGGACTTGTGCGCTCCCCAGCCCGGGCCCCTCGGTCCCCTGTGGCCCGCATCTCCCTCTCTCCCCCAGGTGACTTACCTGACGCACGCCTGCATGGACCTCAAGCTGGGAGACAAGCGCATGGTGTTCGACCCCTGGCTGACGGGCCCCGCCTTCGCCCGCGGGTGGTGGCTGCTCCACGAGCCGCCGGCCGACTGGCTGGAGCGGCTGTGCAGGGCCGACCTCGTGTACATCAGCCACATGCACTCGGACCACCTGAGGTAGGGGCGCCCGGCACCCCCGGAGGGTTTCAGGGTCTCGTGCAATCGCTGCTCGCTCCGAGCTGGGGCCGCTGCGACTGCGCAGCCGCAGTCCGAGCTGAGTGGAGGGCGGGTGTTCCGCACCCTCCCTGCAGGGGGCGCGCTGGCTCCCTCCCTCCTCCCGCTCGGAAGGAGTTCGGGGTTCACTGCGGTCACAGGGTGTTTGACCCCTTGCTTCGCGTCCGCGCTCACGTCGGGAACCAGCACACGGCGCACATTCTCAGTTCTGCCGGCTGTAGGGCCAGCTGAGTCACAGAGACTCGACTGCCCTGTTCATGTGCCACAAAATGTCACCGCTCTTTTATTTTCATTGACATTAGAGGGAGAGGAAAGTGGGGAGAGAGAGGCGTCCATTTGTTGTTCCGCTTACTGACATATTGATTAGTTGAGTCGTGTATGTCCTGACCAGGGATCGAACCTGCAACCCTGGCATATGGGATGGACACACCAACCCACTGAGATACTGGGCCAGGGCAACATCAACCCCCTTTTGATTTTCCCTTCATCCGTTCTGAAAAGACGAAAACCCTTCTTTGTGGCCGCAGCGGGTGGCCCTGGTCTGCCAGTTTGTGGTCTGTCCCAGGCACACCCGCCCCCACCTCTGAACCCTGAGCCAGCCCCGTCCACTGGCTCATGGGGACCTTAACCCAGGTGATCACAAAGGAGAGAAGGGCTTCTGTGGCCTTGCGTGACACAGCGCACTCAAAAACATGCTTTGGTACATGGGTTCATGGTCAGGTTAATACCCAGTTGACAGCCGATTGATCCCTTCTTTTTTTTCTGTTCCAAAGCACACGGATCTCCATAGCACGGATAGTCCCTCCTTTATCTTTCTAAAAGGAAATGGCTTAAAAACCGAATTGGCTGGTTTAGCAACAAATCACCTGCCATGAACTTATAAACTGAACACAACCCATGGGGGGATTACAGTGCTGTAATTAAAAACTGCTTATGGCCCCGGCCGGGCGCTCAGTTGAGCATCGACCCGTACACCAAGAGGTTGCAGGTTTGATCCCCCGTCAGGGTGCGTACAGGAGGCAACTGATTGATGGTTCTCTCTCCCTTGTTCTCTCTGAAATCAAGCATATCCTCTGGTGAGGGTTTATAAAAAGGAAAGGAAAAAAAAGCTACTTGTGGACTCAGCAACGGCTTTGTCCCACCGACTCCACTGGAAGTGTCCTTGCACAACCCCGTGTTGCGAAAGCCCTGGGGAGGGACGAGGCTTGTCCTCGAGGACAGGGTGAGCCCTGGTGACCGACACAGTGGGGACAGAGAGCAAGCCCATCCCAGTCAGGCGGTTGCTCCATTGCGCCTGTTACCATAACGGTGTCACCCGAAGTCCTCAGAGGAGCCTTTCCTGGGCAGACACTGAAGCTTAGGAAGGGTACAAGGCTTTTCATGTCGTCGAGTCCAGTTTTATCCCACCCCAGTCCTGAAAACCCATCTGGTTTTAATTCCGGGGGTCTGTGTGGGCAGAGTCCCCAGGTATGGAGAGGCCGGCTCTGACCTACAGCAGCGCAGCGGGGTGCTGGTGCTGAGTGTTCCTGATCCTTTGTTACGGAAAAGTCCCTGAAGCTCCTAATTTTCACTCCTTTCAGCCGTTTCCTTGATGGGCTTTTTCTTTTTAACTCTTGTCTGGTTGACTCATAAACGTGGGGGTCATGTGTCCCATTTGTCTGGTCTGACCCTCCTTTGCTGAATAAAACCCCCTTGATTTACAAAAACAAGGGAAAAGGCCAGTATACTTTTGAGAACAGTTTTTAGTCAAAGAAACGTGATTGTATTGTGTAAATATAGTATTTTTTAATTTATTTATTTTTAGAGGGGAAGGGAAGGAGAGAGGGAAAGAAACATCAATGTATGGTTGTCTGCCATGTGTCCCCTGCTGGGAACTAGCCTGCAACCCAGACATGTGCCCTGACTGGGAATTGAACCTCGATCCTCTGGTTTGCAGGCCAGTGCTCAATCCACTGAGGTACACCAGCCAGGGTAAATATAGTGAGTATTTTAATAGATGACATTATTAATAGATGCCTATAAGAATTCTCAACAATTAAAAAGTCACAAAGCAGTAAGCATGCACATTTGAGTAATTTACCCTAACTCCCAGAGTCCTTTAAAATAGAAGATTTGTGGCCCTGGCTGGTGTGGCTCAGTGGATTGAGCACCAGCCTTCAAACCAAAGAGTCGCCAGTTCAATTTCCCGTCAGGGTACGTGCTTGAGTTGTGGGCCAGGTCCCCAGTAGGGGGCGCAGGAGAGGCAACCACGCATTGATGTTTCTCTCACTCTCTTCCTCCCTCCCATCCCCTCTCTCTAAAAATAAATAATTAGAAATAAAAATAAAATAGAATATTTAGGTGCTCAACCCAGAGACCGAAGTTACATTCAAATAATCCTTGACTCTGAGTCCTGTGCTTTTGGAGAGGAAAACCCCCTGCTTTCCCTGCCCCGGACCCTAAGCCCAGGCAGCTTTAAACACCGTGGGAGACCTCGAACGTCAATGCACTTAATACGGGTTGACAGGCAGACTCCGTCTGTACTTCTCTTATGATCAAACAACTTATTTCACCTGACATTATGCTCAGTGTCCAAACCCGATTCTTAAACCACATAGTGAATTCACTGAAACCCGAAGTTCCCTTCTGACAGGAGCGGCATCACATTCAGAATCTGGAAACCTGAACTTGAACACCAGTTTCCTATTTGTTAGTTGTCCATTTCTGAATAGGTCTCCTCACTTATAAAAGCAAAGAAACAGTTCAGAGGGGTGTGTGTGTGTGTGTGTGTCGGATGAAGTAACATGTGAACCTGCCTAGCATTGTGTTTACAATGATTTAACAGGAATCCCATTTTTTGTTAGCTTTTTTCCATCCCACAGCGGCTTACGTCCCTTGTCTGTAAGGAGTGCTCACTGAATGAAAGCTGAGTGAGTCCACGCAGGTGTTTCAGTTGCCTGGGTGGCCGAGGGGCGCCCAGTGGACATCGCTGCAGGTCAGCGTGGTTTTTCTCTGCCTGCCTCGCAGGGACCGCTCTCCCCCAGGACAGAGAATGCATTTTCTAGAAAGAAGTGGGCATCTAAGTGCAGAAACCCGGCCCCACGGTGCGGGGCCCAAGGTCCCCCTTGGGCTGTGGCCCAGGCCTTGTCTCCCGGAGGCACGGGGAACCTTCTCACCCATGACTCATCTCATCTGCCCCTCCGCTGACCCACCACTGCCCCAAAGCAGCGTCCAGGCAGTGGAGGGAGTCAGCCCACCTGCTACCGAGGTACCAGGTGTAGGGTAGGTTCTCACGTTGAAAAGGAACCTGCCAGCCAGTCCCTTGAGAAAAAACCACACTGGTGAGGGTCCGTCTTGGTGGTCACTTGCTTCATGACCACCTGTGTCTGGGGGTAGAGGGTCCTGATTTTCACCTGCCGCCCTTCCTGCCCTTTGGGTCCTAGCTACCCGACCCTGAGGAAGCTGGCGGCGAGGAGGCCAGACATCGCCATTTACGTGGGCAACACGGAACGGCCTGTGTTTTGGCATCTGCCCCAGAGCGGCGTCCAGCTGACCAACATCAACGTGGTGCCGTTCGGGATCTGGCAGCAGGTCAGACACCTGTGTCCTTGTCACACTGCCCGGCCCCGATTTCCAGGCTGCAGTTTAGGCGAGTCCCCGGAGCTAGAATCGAAGATGGGCTTATTGGCAGAACTCTATCGTACAGACTGGACCGAAAGGCCCCTGACGCACCCTGCTGTTGGTTTATTGTGAAACTGCAGGTAGACAAGAACCTTCGGTTCATGATCCTGATGGACGGCGTCCACCCTGAGATGGACACCTGCATCATCGTGGAGTACAAAGGTACGGTCCGACCCGCATCAGCCAGGACCGGTGCACGGTGCTGGTGGGGGGAGGACCCTAGCGGCCGCCGGCAGGGTCCTGCCGCCCTGCGCTCACCTTCTTCGCCTCGAGGGCCCGTAGAGCGCACGGTATTCAACCCTCGTCTTAGAAAGACGGGCTATCGTTCGGGTGGTCTTTGTGGAGAACCAACGACCAGTCGCGTGTGGGGACAGGTGCAAAGCTTTTCTCATAAGGCAACAGATAACCTATATTTCACGTAGCGCAGTTTCTTCAAAATGGCCTTTGTTGAAATAGTGTCTTTCACCTTGACCTGTAATCACGTTGGACCTCAACAGACGCGTGCAGTCTGCCTTTCGTGGGAGAACAGCCTTGCTTTCTGAATGTGAACTTCGGGTGGCGTTTGGGGAGGGCCCAGGTGTTTGCTCCGGGCCCTTTCTTTTGCGTCCTTTGGGCCCAAACGTGGAGACATGGACAAGGACAGTGGTCTGTCTGTGACCCTGGGGTGCAGTCACGCTCGCCGTCCTCCCCGGGCGTCACTTGACAATTCACAAGATGCTAGTGAGGATTTTAGGTTTCGAAGCCTCCCCCTTGGACAAAAGCAAGTCTCCCGCGGTCGCAGGCGTCAGATGACGCAGGCCGTGCAGGGGAAGGCCTTGCGGACTCGGGAACCCACAGGGCCACGGTGTTCCCCTTTCTCTCCCCACAGGGCACAAAATACTCAACACCGTGGACTGCACCAGGCCCAACGGGGGCAGGCTGCCCACGAAGGTCGCTCTGATGATGAGTGATTTTGCTGGAGGAGCGTCGGGCTTTCCCATGACGTTCAGCGGCGGAAAATTCACTGGTAATCCTCTAGGCCAGCGCCGCACCGAGGTGCGGTCTCAGCACTTTGCCAAAGGCCAAGAGAGCGAACGCAAAGATAATGAGGACGCGGCCCCGCCCCACTAGAAGCTGGAGATCGTAGCGCCAGTCACAGACGGGCAAACTCTAGTTCCCACTCCGAGGGCGCTGGTGCAGCAGGGAGAGGCGGTAAGGTGGGCAGGGCCTCGCCGGAGAGCCAAGGAAAAGGATCCCGTGACTCAGGGAAGAAACCAGGTCACAGCAGCAGGTGGCTCAGAACAGAGAGCAGGCACGCCCCCTGGGCCCTGTGAGCGCTCCCTCGGGGCGCACAGCCAGGGGGGCCCTTCAAAGCGTGGGAAGGAAGTGGGGAGAGGGAGGTGGTGGCGAACAGCACAAACCTGCAGTTGTAAGATAAGCAGGTTCCGGCGACGCAAACACACAAGCACACAGCGTGGTGCCCGGGTCGACACCGCCGTGTCGTGCGCCTGAAGCCCCTCACCGCCCACAGACACAGGCGCACACACCGCGCGGACGGCGCGAGGGACTGGGTACTGCCCGCAGTGGTTCCGCAGTGCCCGTGCGTATTAAACCAGCACACTGCGCACCTTAAGCTTACACGTGTCACATGTTAACTGTCTCTCGAAACTAAAACAAAGTGTGGGCCCCACGGCAGGAGCCCCCGGGCCCCGGGCCGGGAGGGGGCGGGGCGGAGGTGGTGCGTGCGGTGCCCGCGTCGTCCGCGCCCGTGCTGTCCGCTGGGTGACCGGTCTCCGACGAATTCGGTGGGAAGCAGCCCGGGGCGGCAGGAGGAAGCAAGCCCCTCCCTTTCTTCTCTCCATCTGTCCCCCTCGTTCCGGGACGACGTGACCATCCCTGGTCGAGGGGATAGCAGTGTGACCGAGAGACAAAACGTCCCTCTTGAAGGGTGGCTGGCACGATCCCACTCGAGCGTGAGTGTGAACGAGTGAGTGTGAGCTTGAGTGTGTAAGTGTGCGACTGTGTGTGTGAATGTGTGTGTGCACGTGTGACTGTGTGCAGGCACCAGCGTCAAGGTCAGGGCCACTTATTTTTCCCGTGTTTCTCAAATTTTCGCAGCGGTAGGGGCACCAACAGCTCTCGGCTGGGGGGGCCCCGGGGGGGGGCCCGCCCCCCGTTTCCCTGACTGCCTCCCTGGCCGTTCGCTCCCACCAGCCCACGCCGCAGCCCCTCACCAGGGCCCCCCGCCCCGCCCCAGCCTTGGCACTTGCTGTTTCCACTTCCTGAGGTGCTGCTGTTTCTCCCCTGCGGTCGATCATTTTTGTGCCTGTGACTCAAATGTCACCTACACCAACCGCAGTCCCGAAACGGCCCTCCACCCGCCCACCCCGCCACCTGTGATCTCTTTCACTTCCCTCTTAGTTCTTCGCTCTTTGACATGCCTTAGTCAGGGACTTGTCCATGACTCCCTTCCCTCACCGGAGTGGATGCACCCCGAGTGGCTGGCCTTGCTCACTCCCACCCTCCGTGCCCAGGGCCCTGTCTGGCATAGAGTGGGTGCTCCGTACACACCGGTCAATGAATGAGGAAGCAGATGAACAGCCCGAGAGGCAGGCGTCTGGATTCCACCTCACAGAGGAGGAAGCGGACATAGGTGTTTTCTGTCCTGTGTTCACTGCACCCCTCCTGCTCCTGACCGCTGGGCCTGGGCCCGGTGTGACGAACCTGCTTTGTCGTTCAATCCACCAACACAGCGAGGGCATGCCCACCTCAGCAGAGAGGTCGTAACGACAAGAATTAGCGTGCCCTTGAAACATGCGTGCACAGGGAGACAGCCACACGTGTGGGAGGCTGGCCAGGGTCCCAGTGAGTTGCCATGAACCACGAGAGGGTTAGACGTCTTTGGCTGACTTGGTAGCATTTTCCTAGCCACCAGCTGAACTTCGCAAACCTTAGAGCGATGACGTGGAGGTTTGCTGTATTTCTGAGTTAGTCACCTATCCGCTGGCCTTCCCGGGAGAGCCCCAGTCCACGGGAACGGCCGCTGTCCTGTGACTGCTGCGCAGAGACTAACCCGCGCCCTGTCCTTGCAGAGGAGTGGAAAGCCCAGTTCATCCGAGCCGAGCGGAGGAAGCTGCTGCACTACAAGGCGCGGCAGGTGCGGGACCTGCAGCCCCGCGTCTTCTGCCCCTTTGCTGGGTATTTCGTGGAAGCGCACCCGTCGGACAGGTATGGCTGGGTGTTTGCTACGCCTCGCCCCTGGGAGCCACTACGGTGACCTCAGAAGCCATGACAAATGGCAGCAAAGGTTGAGAATCCGGATTCCAGGGACATTACGGAGGCCGAGCTGCAAGGACTCACAGATGAACCGCACTGTGGGCGCTTATTCACTCACAGGACACTTGGGCTTGCCCTGCGGCCTGCGGGTCAGGGAGCCGGCCAGCCACACTGCCGCGCATGCGCAGCAAGCCAGCCAGCGCCCCCTGCAGTACCTTCGCTGCCCTTTGGAGGGAGCTGTCTGGGGTCAATTTTGTTAACAATTTTACACAGGGAGGCAAAGCAGCATTGAGAGGTTACAGCAGGTTGTGACCGCGACCACTGTGTTTCAGGAAGAGCGATCAGATCTCAGCAGCCTGATTTAGAGATGAGAGGGTCGAAGGCAGGGGGCCCAGAGGGAGTCAGGGGCTGAGCCAGTGGTGGCGTTGCTCTGGGTGGCAGGACACAAACCGTGCAGGAAGAAGACGCCGCTGAGGCCACGGGGACAGTGACTGCTTTACTCCTGGCTGCAAACTGAACTCCAGGACCATAAGTAACACAGGCCGGGCCACCTGGCGCTGTAGGAAAACACACGCTTGCCTCTGTTTTGTGTTTGGGCACCTGAATGCAAGCACCTGTGCCGTAGGGGAGACCAAGCCGTAGCTCCAGAGAGAGTAGACTCCCGGCCCGCAGCGATGGCGTGTGCATTGTCCTCAGGGGATGAAGCCGTGGTGCGCCCTGCGCTGGACCTGCCTCTCTGGCCTTGGCTACCACATTCCCCATAAGGCAATGGAGGGGGGGGGGTAGGGCTTTTCCGGAAGGGCTGCGGTTTGGACTTAGGTGTGGGAGCTATCCAACTCCAAGCAAAAGCACAGTTAGGATATAGATTTCAGGAAGGGCTGTGACTCAGGATGTTGTGTTCTTGGGCAACACTGGGTTTTTGCTGGTTTTGAATGGAAAGACTTTTTTTTTGGGGGGGGGCTTACAAACAACAGAAGTTTCTTTGTCTCAGTTCTGGGAAGTCCAAGATCAAGGCGCTGGCAGACTTCTTCATATAACCTCACGTGGTGGAAGGGGTGGGAAGGTTGCAGACTTGACTCCCAACCCTGAGGGGAGGCCCCCCGTCCACACCCGCCTGGGAAGGCTGGGTCTGCCCCTGCTGGTTGGGCACAGCGCCGCGTCACCTGGGGCGAGTCACTGGGCCTCCCTAAGCCGCGTCCTTCTTTATAAAAAGAGAGCAATTATGGCGGCTCTCTCCGAGTTTGTGAGGACGAAACCAGTTGGCTCATGTGAGGCATTTGGTGTAACTCCTGCCAGCTGGCACTTAATTAATTAATATTCAGTGCAAGAGTGTGCTGTCCCCACCTGTGTGTCAGTGTTGTAACACGACTTCTTTTCAATATGGATTGCGTATTAGATACTGATTCCACATTTAAATGTAAAACCATATAATTATACTTAAAAACAAGGTGTACCCACAGCCTTCTCTGCCCAATAATGCCTCCCCGGTCAGGGACACTGGCCCAGGTCTAGTCTCTATCGTCCCCTGGGGCGAGCGGAGGGGGTCGGGAAGTGAGGCGGCAGAGAGGCCAAGTCGAGTCTGTCCTTGTTCTGATCAGACTGCGCTTCGGAGAATAACCGCCTACCTGGGAACGGTCTCACTCCGCAGGTACATCAAGGACACAAACATCAAAAATGACCCGAGCGAACTCAACAACCTCATCAAGAAAAGCTCCGAAGTGGTGACATGGACCCCCCGCCCCGGAGCCACCCTGGACCTGGGCCGGATGCTCAAGGACCCGACAGACAGGTTTGTCTCGGACATTCCTGGAGAATAAGAGTGACCTGAGGATTCTCTCGATCGAGAGGACAAAGGGCTCGCTGTGGCCCGTGACAGGTGGCTGTGTGGGAATGTGGGTCTTGCTGACCAGCACAGTGGGGCTGAGACAGAGTAAGAAGGCTACTAGGTGAACAAAATAAGCTGTGAGTTGAGCACTTTCGAATCGAGGGGCAAGCCTGTGTCTCCCTGGAAGTTCTCGTCTTGCAGTAAATCGCTCAGCCGCCTTCCTCGTCTCAGGGCCTCGAGGGCGGGGTCAGGGGGTCCTCCTGGGGAGGAGTCAGCAGTCAGGGGCCGGTGCAAGCGAAGTGTTAGCAGCCTGCCAGGTAGTTTTCCCATCGGCCTCCGCGCCACAGAGCAAACCTGTGACGCACACGCAGGCCCGCTCCGGGCGTGCAAGGCGCGGGCAGCTACCATCGGGGCCCAGACCTAGAGTCTGTGAACACGTCTCGAGCTAAATGGAACCGTGGGTTCCTCACATAGAAATGAACCAACGGAGTCGGAAAGCGGGCGCAGGCCCCCAGTTCACCTCCTCCCGGCCTCACCCCACCACAGCCTGCACAGGACAGGCCGCCGCCTCGGCCTTGAGCCCCCACATCAAAGTCCTTTTCCAGCCCCGTCTGCTCTCATTCAGGCATCTCTGCAGATCGCCAGTCCCTCCGCGTGGCCTTTGTTCGGCTCTTAGTTTTTCACATGGATTTGCACAGCAGCCCCTGCTGGTGGCTGGTGGTTGTGCAATCACGGCATCGATTACAATAAGCATCAAGATTTTATTTATTTATGTTTAGAGGGGGGAAGGGAAGGAGAAAGAGTGGGAGAGAAACATCAATTTGTGGTTGCCTCTCTGGCACCCCCTACTGGGCCCTGACTGGGAATCGAACTTGAGACCCTTTGGTTTGCAGGCCAGCTCTCAGTCCACTGAGGGGCACAGCAGCCAGGGCACAATAAGCATCTTTTTAAATGAAATAACAGGCTCTGGCCGGGTGGCTCAGTGGGTTGGAGCATAGTCCCATACATCAAAATGGTGTGGCTTTGAGTCCCGATGTGGACACATATGAGAGGCAACCGATCAGTGTTTCACATTGATGTTCTCTCCCTCCCTTCCTCTCTGAAATCAATGAACATATGCTCAGGTGAGGAAAAGGAAAGGGAAGGGAGAGAGAAAAAGGAAAGAGAAAGAAAGAAAAGAAAAGAGGAGAAAGAAAGAAAAGGAAGAACAGACTTGAATACATTGCACAGGACAAGAGCAAGTATTGTTTTAGGAAGTGACTGTGTCCCAGGGACCCTCGACATGGGGTCCCCTAGAGTCCTGCACAGACTGTTATCCTTACCAGGGTCACAGGTCAAAGGTTTGAAGACTCTTTGCTGCCAAAGTCACCTTTCAAAAATGCAAAGCCGCTGCCATCCCTCCCGTCTTCAACTTCAGGGTCTCCCCAGCGCCCTCAGGATAAAAGTGATATATTTTCTGTAGCGCCAGGGCCAGAGAGGCCTTTGCGTATTTTGACTACTTCTGGGGGGGCCAAGGCCCCCTCTGAGCGCCGGGGGAGCTACTCGGTGGGTTGGCTTTGGATTGGGAACGCTAACGTGTGCCTTCCTTCCTTCTCCCTCTGCCCCCTCGCCTCTGTCTTTAAGCAAGTGCATCACAGAGCCTCCAGGGGGCGCCAAAGTTTACAAGGACACCTGGGACTTCGGGCCGTACCTGGAGGTCCTGAATGCTTCTGTGGGAGACCCCGTGTTCCAGCACCAGGCCTGGATCCAGGAGTACTTCACCTGGGCTGGATTTAAGGATTACAACCTGGTGGTCAGGGTAGGCGGCTCCGCTGGTTCGTCTTCGCTGTCTGGGGCTGTGGGAGTCCATGGAAACCGCAGGATTCCGCGTTGTGTTGCAGTGGGCTCCCCTCCTCCCAGTGCGGCCCAACAGACTGGCTGGACCAGCTGACAGCAGCCTCCCCTCTGCCTGTAATGGGGCGCACGCAGACGTAAAAGTCTTCGGAATAAAATTCGGGTGTCTTCACCAGCTCCCCGGTGCCCTTCAGGGAGGTGTCTTTGCTGTCCCCAGACCCGGGAAATGGTGGCCTGCGGGGCGTGTTCAGTCGGGCAGGTCGTAGGGAAAGGAGACTTCGGGGAGATCATTTACATTCGGTTGACACGTGATGAGGGCAACACTCCACACGGAGTCACTCGGCAACCGCAGGCGGTGCTTGGTGCCCACTGCTGGTCCACTGAGGGCGGCGAGAACCTGGGACACTTGATAGAAGTCGGTGAGGGGGAGGGGTCGGGGAGGGGCAGAAGCTCCCCTCGTCGTGACTCCAGGTCACTGAGACCTTTATGGCAAATCGGGTCTCACACAGCCCAGACTTTTCCTAAGGACCTTGATGAACCAGACTGACGCGTGTCCGCCCTTCACCACGCTGTCCTTCCCCCAGATGATCGAGACGGACGAGGACTTCAGCCCTTTGCCGGGAGGATATGACTACTTGGTTGACTTCCTAGACTTGTCCTTTCCCAGAGAAAGACCAAGCCGGGAACACCCGTACGAGGAAGTAAGTGAGCCGTGGACGGTGGACGTGGCCCTCCATCCCTTCCTGCCCCTTCCTTCCGTCTACGGAGCTTTTTCCTTGGGGATCATGTGGAGTCTCGGAAGAGCTGCCGGGCGAGCAGGACCGGTGTCTTCACACCCGGCCTGAGTGCTCTGCAAAGGCCGGTCTCCGCCCTCCCCTCTGCCCTCTGGGCGCCCCTTGCCCCACACCAGGGCCGCCTCCTGCCCATGGAAGCCCAGGGAGTGGGCCAGACGGGGGTCAAGTTAACAGACTAGCACAGTTCCTGAGCTCCAGGCTGAGCAAGCCCCTCACCCACGGCAGGCGTGAGGCTGCAGCTGTGGGCGCTGGGCCAGCTCCTGAGCCGTCCGAGCCTCGCTTTCCCTCCTGCCGTGGGGCGCGTCGCCTCCTGGCCGGTTTCCCGTGAGGAACAGCACACCCGTGAACGTGCACTGGAACTCACGTACATTCCACACTCATGTGAGAACCGGTGGCTGAACAGGCTGGGCACGCAGCCCGTCCTGAAGCTTCTGTGTGTGCCTGGGGGACGTGAGTGGCCCTACCATAGTGGCCTCCATGTGCCGCCCTCACTGAATAACAGTGTCTTTCTGCCGCATTTGAATGATTGGAATCATGTTCTCAACTTCCCAGAGAACTTGGAGATCTGGATTTTCATGTAAAATACCCAGATTTATACCTGTGGACAGATCATCCAAGCTTTCGTGTGTTTTTTTTTTAAATCCTCACCCAAGGATACGTTTATTGGTTTTAGAGAGAGAGGGAGGGAGAGAGAGAGACATCAGTGTGAGGCAGAGACATTGATGTGTTGCCTCCTGTACACATCTGGGGATCGAACCCCCAACCTAGGTATGTGCCCTGACCAGGAATCGAATCCTCAACCTTTGGTTACTGGAGGACGCTCCAACCAACTGAGCCACCCAGCCAGGGTGATAATTTGAAAAGGGGCCGTGGGTTAGGCTGCATGGGCTCAGGGGTCACTAGTTGAAGCTCCCCGGTGAGGAGCCGGCCACCCCTGAGCGCCAATGTGGAGGCCCTGGTCCCGGAACGTGACCCATGCTCTGCCTGCTCTCTCGCTCCCCTCCCCCAACAGATCCGTTCCTTTTATTCTGAGAACTATCTGGACGCACTCGGCGGGACCGCGCCCGGACGTGGGGCAGGGCCGGCCACTTCCTGTGCCCTCGCTGTCGGCCACGGCACAGCCTCCGCCCCCTGCACTGCGTTTTCTCCGGCTCTCGGGACTCTGCCGCCTCTCCCTGCTCTTTGGCTGCCGCTCACGGCGGGAATCGCTTGGAATCTCGATCCATCTCTGCTTGCCTCCTCCTAAGCCTGCGCTGTCCAACACCTTCTGCATCAGGGGCTGGGGTTCTCCACAGGTAAAGGCCCTGGCGACCTCGGGGAGGGAACCTCGCGCAAGACACAGATGGCCCTGCTTGGCTTCTGCGGGCTCAGGCGGGAGACCGGGTGTCCTGCGTCAGAACAGTGGTGACGGGCACACTTACTGAGCTCTGAGTGCCGGGCCCTGCTTATGCATTGTGTGTACATTGGTTGAATTAATCCTCATAGGATGGGGTCCATTGTCTTCATTCTATAAAAGAAGAGATGACCCTAGAGCTGGTATGGCTTAGTGGATTGAGCCCTGGCCTGTGAACCAAAGGGTCACTGGTTCAATTCCCAGTCAGAGCGCATGCCTGGGTTGCAGGCCGGGTCCCCAGTAGGGGGCGCATGAGAGGCAGCCACACATTGATGTTTCTCTCCCTCTCTCCTTTCCTTCCCTTCCCCTCTCTAGAAATAAATAAATAAACTGTTTTCTAACAAATAAAGAGGAAACAGAGGCACAGGATGGTAGCACCTGGGTTTGAACCCAGGAATCGGACTGTGCTCTATAAGCCAGGACGCCCCCAGTCCTGACCCGAGTCCCCTTTCCCGGTCCTCAGTTTCCCCCGCACTCAGGTCCCTCCGCGTCCCGCCTGCGGCATCCGCTCCAGCAGCCACCTCTCTGCGATGCCCCAGGCACATGCCCCGGCCGCCCTGTGGGGGGCGCCCCGCTCACTGTCCGCGTCCGTTTCAGATCCGGAGCCGGGTGGACGTCATGAGACACGTGGTGAAGAACGGCCTGCTGTGGGACGACCTGTACATAGGGTTTCAGACCCGGCTGCGGAGGGATCCGGACATATACCACCACCTGTGAGTCTGAGAACGCCCAGCGACCCCCCGCCCCTTTCGGTAACCGGCGGTCGGGTGGGGACTCCACCGCCAGTGTTGCCTTCCTTTGCAAGCCTGTTACCAGCCAGTGTGGTTTGCCCTGGCGGAGTGGCTTGGTTGCTTGGAGCCTCGACTCCTACATCCAAAGCTCTGGGTTCGATTACCAGTCAGGGCACACCCCTAGGCTGTGGGTTTGATCCGGGGTCAGGGTGCCTACAAAGGCAGCCAATCAATGTTTCTCTCTCCCTTCCTCTCTTTCTAAAATCAATAAACATAGCTTTGGGTGAGTTTAAAAACAAAAACCCATGTGCACTTTAAGGTTAAAGTGGAAGTGCTTGAGTTGAAATGACAGAAAGGCTTCTTGGCCATCTCTGTGTCTGCAAAGCAGTCACCAAAGGGAGACACGGTGACCGTTCCCTCACGCCCTCTGAAAAACGGAGGAATTTGGTTTTCAATGAGCAGAACCCACCACCTCCCTTCTGCCCTTGAGCTCACAGGCTTGCTCCAAATTTATTAAAAGTTCTTTTGCACTTCTTTGCTTTCAAGTGTTTTTAAATGATAAAAAACGTAAAGGATGTCGAAGTCCGTAAAATGGAAAGAACCCCACCCCACAGAATGCTGTGCCCTGCCCCCCCCTGCACTGCCCTCCAGGGCGGCCTTTGGGAGCAGCTGGGCGGGGAGCACCCCAGGCCAAGGCCTGGGCGTTTCAGCATTGCCCTGAATCCGTGAGTTCTCCACCCAGCGCCCCACGTGGTTGGGGTGGGTACTGTTGCCAATGTAATGTAAGTCCAGTGCCTACATTCTATAGCTTGCCTTTTTACCCACAGGTGCATCTTTTTTTTTTAATCCTCACCCAAGGATGTGTTTGATTTGGCGGGGGAGGGGGGGGGGACAGGCAGACACAGAGAGAGAGAAACACCCTTGTGAGAGAAACATGGATTGTTTCCTTCCCAAATGCACCCTGACTGGGGATCGAACCCGCAAACGTCTGGTGTACAGGACAATAGTCCGACTAACTGGCTCACCCAGCCAGGGCTCATCAGGGCGCCTTTGTGCCCCTACTGGTCAGGACACACACATCAACCCCGAACATGTGAACAGCTGTGAAACAGCCCCCGCTGTGGTCTCTTGCCCCAGAGCGCACACTCTGCCTGAGAGCACGGACGAGCACATGCACTTTGTGCAGAAATAGGATAACGCTGTGCACACTGTTCTACCTGCATGTTCCCAGAACAGCTTGCTCCACCTGGTTGTCTCCCTGTCGAGTTCCAACTTCTCACTACTGGAAACAGGGGTTTGGCCAATACACCCTGGTTCCTCGGGACGGATTCCTAGCACAGGGGTGAGGTTGCTGGACCCAGTGCCCACGCGGCCTTGCCGCTCGCCCAGTCCTGGCGCGGGAAGCCAGCCCTGCCTCCCGGCACTAACACGGGAGGCCACGCGGGTCCCTGCCCGCTCCCCAGTCTGGGCCCTGACCCAGCCGCTCGGCGCATCCGCCTGCGCTTCCCCTCACGAGGATTCCCTAAAGCCGTCACACGCCGCGGATGTTTAGCTGCCTGAGCAGCCGAACCAGCCCCGAAACGAGTTTCTCGGGAGGGCTGGCGATGGGACCCCACGGACCCTGCCACACAGTAGGTGTGGAGGGGTCCGAACCTCACCTCGGCTCCATCTCTCTGGCAGGTTCTGGAACCACTTTCAGATAAAACTCCCCCTCACGCCTCCCAACTGGCAGTCCTTCCTGGTGCGCCAGGAGGGGCCCGGACTGAAGACGTCCCCGGCCAGGCCTCCCGCAGGCGTGGGGAACACTGTCGCCTGTGCCCCGTCGGACTCCCTGGGGCACCCAGACTGAGGAGGAGGGTGCCTCTCAGGAAGCCTGCCCCCGGGGGGAAGGAGAAGAGCTAACATTTCGCAGATGCAATGAGTAGTGAGGACATCCAGCCCCAGTCCGTGGACCCGCTAGCCTGGTTGGGCGAGCACACAACCAGTGAAAACATGACAGAGAAAATCATCACCGGCAGCCGGTGAGCACTCAGAACGAGACCCTGACCACACGAAGAGAAATGACCGGAGAAACCCGGAGAGCAAGAGAGCGACAACAGAGAGACACGGAGACACCCCCACCTGCACCATCGTGGGCCTCCCCTGCCGCCCGCCTGCCGCCCCGCCTGCCGCCCGCCTGCTGCGGCTTCATTAACCAAACTGCCCCCCTGCTGTCCCACACTCGTGACCAGGAAGATCACGTAGTGTGACTGCAAGACGAGAATTCCTCGACTCACACCTTCGTTTCCGTGTTTACCCACTTACCCCCCAGGTGGCCGTTGCCTCTTCCTCGCGGACTCTGAATTTCTGCAAAGCAGACACGCTTGCCCTTGAGACCTGGGCACGCGCGTCTGTGTTCATAACCGGCCTCCAGGGAAGAAAGAGCAAGCGAACGCTGTCTCCCGCGGTCAGCGGGACTTGCGTCTGAACTAGCGTCAGCATCCGCACCAGCAGAACTGAGGACCTAGGTGGGACACTCTTTGCAGCCGGGAAGCTCCCTGCTTGAGCCCAGCATGTGGCGCTGGGCTGAGCCGCCCCCAGGCCGGAGGGGTGCCATGGGTGTCCCCATAGGACACGATGGCAAGGCAGATGTGGGCTGGGGACACTGGGGAAAGAGAGGTTCCATTGGACCTTCTGAGAGGACCAGGAAGAGCATTACATTCAGGGGGTACTTCAGGGCAGGTGGGGTGTTAAGAGAGTGTCTTGAAGATTGGGTGACGTGGAGGGGAGGGGTGGTGAAAGGAATATTTCAGGCAGACAGACTGGGTGAGGGGACCAAAGTCTTAGTCCCCAGTGGGTTCTCGCTGACCTTGCAGCATCATGGACTATATAATTGGAACTCAAGAATAAAAACAGCCCAGGCTGATGTGGCTCAGTGGATTGAGCTTGGGCTGCAAACCAAAGGGTCACCAGTTTGATTCCCAGTCAGGGGGGCACAAGCCTGGGTTGGGAGCCAGGTCCCCACTGGGAGGCACGTAAGGGGCAGCCTCACATCGATGTTTCTCTTCTCCTTCCCCTCTCTCTAAAAATAAATAAATACAAAATTTTACAAACCAATAACAAAAATTCGCCCCATGGCAACAGAAACGTGAAACGTGCTGAAATGAGACTCACCCTGTTCTTACTCATTAGTAACATCTCAGATTCACGGGAAGGCTTGAGAATCTATGGGTCACGTCTCAGACACAAGAAGCTTAGACCAGTGATTTCCGACTGCTGTGCCGCAAGAATGTGTGGAACATGTAGTTCCTGCCTCTTTAGGCAGGGCGCTGACCTCTCTTCCCTGAGACTGTCAAACAAACAACAAAAAAATGCAACATCCAGTACAATAGCTGCCCGGTGTATATGAGTATAAATTATATCTATTTTTTGTAAGAATGGCAAAAAATATATACTTTTGGTGCACCGCAGAATTTTAGTAATTGGTGTATGTGGGCCTTGAGGCAACCAAGGCTGAACATCACTGGCTTAGACCAGAGAGTCTGATGTCACATGGATGGTTCACTTCGTTTGTGGGGTGTTCACACAGTGGACGTCGGTGGGTCACTGAGTAGCCAGATTATGAGTATTTTACTTATTCCAGCCACAATGCTCTGTAAAAGAATCAGTTCACTGGGACTGGAGTTATTTTGATTCAGTGACAAAATCTGTTACTTAATGCAGTTTATAAATTCTAACAAATAGATATTTGACTAATAAAAATAGAAGCACTATTAATAAAATGTATAGATAAAAGTCAAAATCAACAGAAAAATCAACGGTAAAGATCTGGATCTTGAAAAAATTAGGAAACCCTTTTATGAACACTTAAAAATTATTTCAGTGGTTAAACAGGCAACCAGTCTCACTATTGCCGCTGACGTCCGCAGCTGTTCCTGGGTCACGCATGATTAGGACAAATACACACAAATGCACTCGTAGGAAAATGGAATTGGTACCGTATTTTTCAGACTATAAGACGCACTCCTCCCCCTGCCAAATTTGGGAGGAATAATCGTTGTTAATGCTGCTGTTGGGTTCTGTTTACATTTACATTGGTGAAATATTATTCATGTCATTACATATTTTGCCCCATTTTTCGCTTCAAAAAATTTTTTCCTCAATTTTCCTCCTCTAAAACCTAGGTGTGTCTTATGGTCTGAAAAATAGGTGACTAGGTTTCTTTGCACACTGGTGTTTCCAGTTCACACACACACACACACACACAAATAGGCTTTCTGATTGTGTATATTACCTCTTTAATTCCAAAGCTACAAAAAGAATCCCACAATGAAATGTATCTCCTTCTCTGACATCCCATCTGGTGAGGGAAATCTCAGCTATTTACTGATGAACACCAATGGTGTTTGATTATGGTTCACCTCACACATTATATGTAAGAAAAATGCAGGGAATTCGAGTTATGTTTTGTGATTTGCAGTACACAGTAAAATACTCAACTTTTGCTAAGAGTAATTGTACCATATGACTCCTCCCGGAACTCGTGATGGGCGAGTGCCGAGACCCACGAGTGCCGAGACCCACGAGTACCAGAACCGACCCACATCAGTTCCAGTCCGGACAAGGAGTCCCGAGCAAGCGCTCAGCGCCAAAACAGCTTTTTCTCGCCCAAATGCGACCAGCACAGGGTTTGACGAGTTCCGAAGCCCACGAGTACCGAGGTATACGTTACAATGCACACGAGCAAAAAAAGGTTATTCTTCAGTGTGGATGTCCCCTCTCCCCCCACGCCGATCTGTGACCCCCTCCCGAGACCCAGCCATCCCTGGTCACCCAGGCCTGCGGCCCTCGGACCTGCAGGGCCTCCCTCCGCCGCCAGGCGCCTCTTCCTCCCTCTGGCGCCCCCACGCCGCCCGCCCTCTCTCCCTCTCCGACCTCACATCTCATTTCCGCGAGTTAAACCAAAAGCCACAACATTCTCCTCTGCACAACCCGCTCTAACACCCACCGCGGCTCCAAGCCCTGCACCTCCACCTGCAAGACACACCTTCGAAACACGCAGAGCGCGGCCCCTCTCCACGGCCGCCCTGCCACCCGAGCCCCCCGCGATGGGGAGAGAAGGGAACCGGCAGAGGCGAGCTCGGCCCCGAGGGCTGGGTCCCGGGAAGGGTCCGCCCATCCCCGAAAAGCACCGGGAGCTGAACGCCCTGCAGCCTGCCCCGCAGCCACTCACAGGAGCCGCGGCCGCCGGCTGGTGTCCGGAAGTCGGAGGGGCGCTGCTGGCCCCTCGCGTCTCGGGAGCCCCGCTCTGGGAACCGGAGAGCCGGAAACCGTCGCTGGAACGCAGCAAACGCGCGCCCTGATCTGTCTCCATCTTCCCGGATGGGTCCTCCTCCCGAAGGACCCCCTTCCCGGCGTTCGGGACCCGCCATGGGCCGGTGTCGCCGGCAGGCGGCGCCAGAGGACCGCGCACGCCGGCTCCCCTCCGGCCCCTCCCACTCCGGACGCGGTTCCCGAGGTGCCCCCGCAGTGACCCAGGGGCCGCCGCCACCCCTGTCAGAACCCGTGCCCCTGGGGTAGCTAAGAAGGGAATGGCTTCCTCCGGGAAGCTCTGACTCTTCCCCGAGCCTGCAGAGCAGGAGGTTAAAACTTGGTTTTGTGACAAACGTGACCGTCCCTTATTGGGGGGAAAAGCCCCGCAGGCGTTCCTCCTTTGCGAGAGGGCCCCTCCTGGGCACCCAGCAGCTCCCTGATCGCCCCTGCTTTCCTGCCCAGGCCTCTCTGCCGGGAAAGGAGGAGATTAATTTCCAGCACATACTTACTAGTAAAAATAGTTAACGTTTTTGTGTGTGTAACAGTACTACGACTAGTGTCCGGCACCCCGCTAAGCACACGACAGATGTCCACTGTTTCTTTAAGTTAGGAGGAAGGTCTCCTTTTCCCTATTTCACCCACGAGGAAACCGAGGCTCAGGGAGAGAGAATCACCCAGCTTGCCCGAGGTCACACCACCCACCTGGATCCAGAACTTGAACTTGAGTCTTGCTGCCCAGGAAGCCCTGGTCCTGGCCCCATGGTGTGCCCCCATGCAGCAGAGGGACTCTGAGTGAGGGTCCTGTGGGTTCAGGGGGTTGAGGAGGGTGGCGATTCGAAAATTCTCCTGTGACCCAAGGACCTACGACCACACAAGGATCAAAGGCGAGCATGCAGTGTGCTCCCCAAGTGCCCATAACACCCGCCCTCGGGCGTGCCGACGGCTCCTCGGGAGACAGGTGAGCAGCTGGTGGGGGTGCTGGGCCCCCAGCTGCCGGCCTGTTTCAGAGGACTGGGCAACCGCCCGCTCCCTGCCAGCTCTCCACCAAGGACACTTTTGTGGATGACTGTCTGGGTTCGAGAATCCACGGGGACATTGCCTTTTCCCAGCTACAGCAGGGCTGCAGGGCGCTTCAGGTTCCTGGGGCCTCCGACTGGTCAGGTCGGCGGTTCTGTGCTCTTCAGACATTGAGGACAATGGGAGGTTTGCCCGAGATGGATGCTGCTCGCACCCGGGGGCTCAAGACACGAGTCTTCCAATTCCAAGTGTCAGACAGCGACACTGGATGCTAAGTTCTCCTCCCTCACAGGGGCCTCCATGTATCCAGGGACTTCTGCTGTCTTCCAGGCGATGCGCTAAGTTTTTAACAAGCATCGTGTCATTTAATCACCAAAACGACCCCACATTTGGGTACTTATGAGTTGTGTGACGCTGAGGTCCAGGCCCGGTCTGCCACTTGGAGGTGATAAGGGTCCCTGCCTCAGGAGGCTGACTCACGGGGACGGAGCGGAGCAGTTTCCGGGAAGCGCTTGGCCCGCGGCCCAGATGCAGCAAAAGCTGTCACGGTGAGGCTGCTCCCCCCCCCCCCTTACTGAGGACGACTCCGAACCCCTGGATCTTGCCCCAGGTCGCAGAGCAGAGCCCTAACCTAGAGGCGAAGCCACGGGACTGCCTTGCTACATTGCTGGCAGAACTAAGTAAGTTAATTATTTAAACAGCCTTTTGTCCCATCTTTACTGGGTCTGAAAATAAGCTTAGCTGGGTGGCGCACAGAGCTGCGGCGGGTCCACGGTGCCCCGCCCCCCGGCTGTGGGAGTGAGGCCACATGAGACTGTGGGAAGCTCTACTGCGGGTGACCCCGAGTCCCATTTGCCCCCTGTGGCCTTGACTTGCTGCCGACCACCTGCATCCGATCTGAGGGTGGCCTCTCCCCGTGGAGCTGGTTCAGACCTACCCTGAGGTGGGTCAGGTTGTGCCCACTTCACCCACCCCTCTGTCCTCTTCAGCCGTAAAAAGCAGGACGTTCTCACAGTCTGCTGGCTGCTGGCCCGGCCGCAGCCGGTGCGGGGACACCCGGGTTTTCCTGTACAAGTGCATCATTTTTCTCCTGCAGCCTCCCTCCGTCCCCCCAACTCCTTCGGGTTTCAGAGTCTCGGCTGTGATGTGAGGTTTACGGACGTGGGCTCTGGAGTCCCCGGACCGGGGTCTCTGTCCTGACTCGCCTCTCACCAGACTGCAGACCAGACACCTGTCCAAACACAGGTCCTCCTCAGAAGCGCAGAACTCAAGGCTGGACCTCGTTATAAGACAAAGCTCCGTAATCGCAGCTGCCTGTTGGCGGCGCTGTGATCCTTCCGTGGGAACAACTAAATGACCAGTTGGGATAGTCCAGCAGCTAAAACTCGCCGTCCCTCTTAGCTGCATCCTGATCCCTGCCAGGCCGCACGTGAGCGTGACATGGTCTGTGGTATGGAAAATTCTAAGATTCTTCCTTTCCCATTAAACCAGTCCGGGGAAGCCAGCCTGCGGGTGGGAGTCGCGCGCGCCACGCCTCCCCTGCCGAGTACCTGCCGAGCCACCTGAATTCTAGTCTTGAAGTGTCCTCAATCACGA